AATAAATCCCATAAACATTTCGGAACTTATTAACACGGCGCGTCTTAACTTTTGTACCGAATAAAACAAACCTTTCTGCATTGATATATTAAATTTCTAAACTCAGTGTGCCTTAATTATTATTATTTGAACTCTTCACCATCATCATCTATTTATACATCAACCTATTTATAAGTCCCATTGCTGGGCATGGGTCTACCCTCAGATGAGGGTTTAGGCCACACGTTTTATAAGGGTTGTGAACCTTCGTCGATGCGCAGGTTTGATTACGATGTTTTCCTTCATCAGTAAATTTCATATGAAATTTCGCACATAAATTCCGAGAAACTAGAGGTGCGAGCCTGAATTCGAACCCAAAGCCTCTGCTAGAGAGCCAATAGATCAAATCATTAGACTGACTGGCTGACTAGACTAACGGTCACCGCTCTTTCTGACTCTTCTCTAGTCTTTTAGACTTTAAGTCCAAGTTTTGGAATTTAGATGGTTTTTATAAAGCGCAAGCCACATCGCGAACGAAGCTAAGCTAACTGCGCTTAACTCACGTAGTTGCATGCAAAACTAAGCTAGGAAAATACGTAGTAAGTTGTGACGTGCTGCACTATGGATACGTATGGGGTCGCAGAGCGGCAGAAGAGCATCATATTTTACATAGCTTTGCGGGATCGTTGGGTTAGTTTAGTTGGCTCGGTTAGCTTAGTTCGCGGTGTGAAGCGAAGTATGAAAAATGCCCCGGCTACGTGAGCTAAGTTAGCTTAATTTCGTCCGCGGTGTGGCCTGCGCTTAAACATTACTGTAGAATGCATAAAAATCATGCTATGGTAAAGGACACGAAGTCCGATCGTCTTTTGTTTTTACATATTTCATATGAAAGATAGATTTTAAATGCCTATTTAAGAGTATCAGGGTCGTATTATAGAACTCTACTCAATGCTCAAGTCAGGATTGCACTGGATTCACAAGCACTGGAAATACGACCTTAATGGCAAGGACTTGAGTATGATCTCGAGTGCTCTAAACCATACTCAAATCCTGACTTGAGCATTGAATAGAGTTCTAGAATACGACACTTAATCTCTTTAAAACTTTCTGTTGTAAAAATTATCTACTATCTAGCACTTAAGTTTCTTTACATCTCAGGTACAAAAGACCTTAAGTCTTTTGGAATTTAGATGATTTTATAAACATTGCTTTAGAATGCTAAAAATCACTCAATTGTAAAAGAGCAGTAGCAGTACAGGTCCTTGTGAAAAAATTCGTCCAGAGAGGTACTGCCACCTTATCTATTTCTGCCGCCAAACAGTAATGTCAGCATTATTGTGTTCCGGTTTTGAAGGGTAAGGGTGCTGGTGAAATTACAGCACAAGGGATTTGTCAACTTATGTCTCAGGGTGACGTGGTAGTGCCCTTCAGATCTTTGCAATTTAAAGCTCTGAGTGGCAGCGTAACTGTTATGGACACGCGTATAGCTTACCGTTAGGCGCACAACTTGTTCGTCCCGTCATTTGATGTTATAAAAAAAGTTCTTGTCATCGTTGTTGGTACCATACAACAGAAATTTCGAAATACAAAATTTTATTTCAAATTTAAGGAATTTAAAATTCACATAATAGTCAAAATAAAATTTGAAATTAAAATAGCAGTAACAAATTGGTAATGTCAAAACTCATAATGCCTGACGTACGGTAGTCAGTTAAAACCGGGCTTATTTTTTCACCACCATAATATGCATTTTATTAATATATATATATACTATTCATTACCTTTGCCATTTACAATGTTAGATACTAGTGAATGCGTCAACTTATTTGTCATACTGTGATTCATTTGACAAAATACTCGGAATTGACGATCATTGGATTTGACGTATCCTTGGAATTGAAATTTTATCCGGAATTGGAACTTTTCCCCAATCTGGTATGACCCACCGAAGACGAGACTTAATGCCTATATACTAATTAATGGAATATGAAGAAAAAATAAATTCACCAAGACTTGGCTGTATAGTGTCAAACCTTTGAAGGGAAAAAAATAACTCATTCGCCGTCGCGGCGGCATTATTTTTTCTTTAGGTAAATGACCATGACGTCATAGACATTGTGTATGTAGGTCACAATGAAAGAATTCTCGATTTGCACAATAGTGTAAATCGAGATTTATTAATCAGCCTAGTTCTTGACTACGAATGTCATTTAATATCTCGGAATATAAATCGACTTAAACATAACAGCAATAGAGCTAAGCAGTAGAGCTCTTTGTGAAAGAGGTCGGCCAGGGAAATACTGTCACCTTCAGTTTTGAAGGTGACAGTATTTCTAAGTGCTAGTAAAATTATAAGAATATGGGAATTGCCAACTTATGTCTCAGGGTGAAAGGCGCAGAGGCAGTATCCCTTAGATCTTTGCTATTTGACAGGCGTGTCGGTTACCACCATGCGCACGGCTTATACCTCCTACATTTGACAACATAAAAAAAATATCGTTTTACATATCACTTGCCGATCGTCAGCTTACAATTTTACAATTAAAACTGTAAAATGTATATAGAACGGAATGTAACTTAAATCGAGATTTTTTAAATTGTAATGTAGGTCCTAAACAAAGTCTATGATGCCATGAGTGTCAAAAAGTAAAGAAAAAAAATAACTCCGCCGTGACAGTGAATCACTGCCGTGACCAGGATTCGAACCTGGGTTACTACGGCCACAACGTAGGGTCCTAACCACTAGACGATCACGGCTGTCGGAGCTGGTGACAGTGGCGGCGAATTTTCGAGTCTATTTGGTAAAGTAACCGAATTAAAGTCACTTTCACAACTGAACTTTGTTAGGTGCCTACTCTAGTAAGAGACGACGTCGAAATAATTTACTTGGTATTTACTTTTTACGTAGTGTTTATAATGTTTATTTTTGCAAATCAGCGTTGCAGATCAATGCTGTTTAGGACAAAGGATGATTAGACAGTTTATAATCTAAATCATAACCATTTTATTCCACAAAAAAAAATATGAATCGAGTATGTTTTCGCGATTGTTGCACATAGGAAATGAAACAAATTTTTCGAATAAATCGCGTAAGTATATATGTCTTTTTTTGTTTTTGTTAACAAACCTATCCATCTACTTCATATATTATTGTTTTCTTGCTTCGTTTCTTGAATATGTACAATACAAATACGATAACGAAATAATAAAAAATAATAGTACATAAAAGATAAAAGATATAGTATAGTCGAAGATATATAAAAGTATCTAATTATCATCATTGCGAGAAACAGAGGCGCGGTGACCTCAGACGACTCGCCCAACCATCGCCATAGATTAGTTGTAGTTGTAAAGACGATGCTAAGCGACCTATTATACTATCGTATTGTAGGTAAATATTAAAAATGATACGGAAATTACAATCAACGGCAATTTTAGTAGTTTTTAACCACGGTAAGTAATACTGTTTATTTCTCTCTCAGCTCTTTTTTTTTGTATGTATGTTACGCGATAACTCCGGTATTCGTGAATCGATTTTCATAATTCTTTTTTTGATGGAAAGGGGGTACTTCATTATTGGTCCCATTTTATTTTGAAGAAAATCATCCACCTCTGAGGGTGGCTGTGCACGCATGAAGATTCATTTTTATAAATAGCGCCTAACTTTAATTTAGGAGCAATTATTTTAATGGTTGATTTTGCTATATCTCCAATTCAAGGCGTTTTTCTCTCAATATACTTTGAGAACCGATTTTTATTATCTCCAGAGTCAAGTCCTGTATAGTAGCGAACTAGGGGATATTTCAATAAAACTTGGCAAATAGACGTAATACCACGTACTTTTGAGGTCGGTTTTTTTAGTACTCTGTACTGAGATTATTAATTATTCAAATGTTTTTTTTTAACAATGTTGTACGGTCTTACCATACATATAAACTAACATACACATTTAGATACTTCTGTGCCCATTTCAACCACGTGCTGCACTTTATTTAAAATAAATAACTATTTATTTATTGGGACATGTAATGTGGACAGTTGTCCACCGAGATACTATCTAAGGAAAGATTTGCCACTAATCACGTTTGCGAACTGCATCCGAATCTTATTCGTTCCGAATCCGAGACTACACAAAACTAAAAAACGCGTACTCACTTCGAATGTCGCTTGTGCACTAAGTCCTAGAGATAAAATTATCCCAGTGACATTTCGAAACTAAAAGGACTCAGATGTAGTGCACAAATGCTCTGAACTTGTCAGTGCATTACGAATAATATATTTTTAAATGATTGGAAGTTTTTCTCTGCGTGTTACAATGCCATTTCAACTATATGCTACGACTGCAGTAAATGTACTGAGCTAACTGGCATTTACAAAATATGTAATATTTTAAGAGGATGGGAAACACTAAGTTTTATTCTTATTTAGACAATTGACATTTATACTGTAAAGTATAAATTAACAACAGTAAATAAACATTGGTCATATGGCAACTTGAGAGTTAAATAAAGGCATACTAAAATATAAAGTATGATATTATGCACACATTGATTGTAATATTTTTTTGCTGTAGCGCTACCTATGAGAAATGTACGAAATAATTTTCAATGATTAATATAATAATAATAGATAGGTTTCATGATTATACACATAAAATTATTAGAACAGCGAAGTCGTAAACCATTGTCGTGTTGTTGATTTGAATAAACCAAATTGCTTAATGAAATGAATAAATGGAATAGGCTTTTCAACAGAGAACACGCAATAGTAAGCGGTAAGAACAACACTTATGTAAGTAATTATTTTAAAAGGTTTTACATCGCTAGAATTCACACTCTTAATCAACGTTAGGTTTAATTCAGCACGCAAAGCCTTGACACGTCGTATCTGTCCTATATGTTGCTCTATGGACCCGCCCAATCCCAACGCTTGCGGCCAGTATTTTACAGCCATCGCGACAATAGGTTGCTTTCATACTTTTTTCTATACATTTTTACTAGTAAATAAACGGACTCATAGGAATGGGGAACAAAGTTGTGACTTTTACGGAACAACAGTTAGAAGACTATCAGGTATTTAGTTAATTAAGTTTTTTGTTGCGTAGTGTTTTGTTTCAGATGTTGGTAAATATTTTCCAGCCTTGACAATGATTTGAGAGGGTGGAAATCTAATACCTTTGTTGAACGAATATGTACCTTACATGTATGGCGTTAGGAGTAGTTTTCTATTTCTTACTTGAAGTGCCGTATATTTTACTGGTGGTAGAATGTCTTGATGAAAACTTTTCTTTGTTTTCTGAAACAGGACTGTACATTTTTTACAAGGAAAGAAATATTGCGGTAAGAATAACGTATATGTTTTTATTGATAACACGAATATGATGGATCGGTTACTTATAACTGTAATATTTTACTGTGCAAAAGGTAATATTTGCCTTCATGTTACCTTACACTTTGTATTTATTCTTACACATTTCGAGGCAAGCATGTGCAATCTCTAGCGTAAATTACATTACATACATTAAAATTTCGACCTTCTTATTAAATATAAATAAATAATAGATAATAAAACGTAACATTTAAGAGGCGAACGGAAAGGAACGAAGTAGAATTCCTTGCCTGCAAACTTATTCCCTGAACGTTATAACTTGGGCCTTTTCAAGACGAAAGTGAATAGGCATTAGTTAGGTGTGCATGCTCAATTGCCGACCTCATCGTCACTTTCCATCTGGAGAGATGGAAGGCAATACGCGCTTATATTATGAACAAAAAAAAAACATAAAAAAATAGCAATATATTTTCATAAAATAATAATCTGTGCAAACCAAAATATTGTTTATTTTAAGTTATATGCCTAAGAAACAAAACACATAATAAAAAAATCGAAAGTCTCCGGAATTGAAATTATACTTTAGAATGTAATGTATAATTTCATTTCCGGAGATTATTTCGATTTTTTTTATTTTGTGTTTTGTTTCTTTTTTCTCAAAGTTCTTTTTTTGTTTTTTACCGATTTTCACTTTTTGTTTCTTTTTTTTTCCACAAAATTCGGGGAGTATAATAGTAGTAAATTAATTAAGGCTGTTTGCGTTAAAAGCAGATTATAGAACAGAAATTAAGTTGGCGTAGTGTCCATTGGATCGTCTCGATTTGATTGCAATTTCACATCCTATATATACATTAAAACACGTGACTGTACCATCTTCGTCCACATTCATCAAATAACATTGTGGCCAAATATAAACCTAACATCAATAATAATAAAAATCCCTTTATATCATCCACCCATACAATTGGATATCATTCTTTTTAGATAACACTATTTTTCTATTTATAACCGAACTCACACGTCATTTAAGAATTTATTGCATTATTTTCTACCACCACATGTGATGATGTGACAAAAGATTATAGATACAAGCGTATTACATGAAAGTCATAAAAATAATGAACTACATGATACAAATTATGTATATGTGAAATTTTATAACTCTTCTATATAAGCATAAGAAAGTTATCGACTAATTTTTATCGTAGAACTTTTAAGCCTCTCTCCTGAAAAGTTGTAATTTTAAAGATGTGCCTTTATTACTTCAAGGGTGCGGCTTATTATTGTAACTTCATAATCTGGTACACAACTACACCAATCATGTAATCTGAAACTTAAATACGCAACGCAATTAACTAATTACAGGATACTACGCAGCACACCCAGATCAGGATTAATTTTGAAATTTATTTTCCCAAATTGATCCCTGTAGGAATTGAACCCGGGACCTCATCATATAGCGCCCTCAATATTAGTCACTGGGCAACAGAAGTCGTCAAATCTGGTAATTTCTATAATTATATCAGCATAATTCTTCATTGTAAAATGAAAACACCGTTTACGCATTTTTACATATATTGTTTTAGGTAACTTTTATTAGGCCGTCTATAAATATTAATTTTTATTAGAGTAATGTAGCATCCTAAAGAGTTTTTAGTAGCATTGGAGCTCCATCTGAAAGAGTTCGTCCAGGGAAGTACTGCCCTTTACCTATTTCTGCCACCAAGCAGTAATGTCAGCATTACTGTGTTTCGCTTTTGAAGGGTAAGGGTGCTGGCGAAATTGCAAGCATTTGCAATTTCGCCTTATGCAACTTATGGCTCAGGATGACAGGCGCTTGTGTCACTTGGTATCATAAAAAAAGTATAATTTAACTAATTTGAATGGTAACAAACAACACGTGTTAACTATAGTTTAAAGGACACTTTCTTATTAATCAATCAAAACATTGATTAGTTATAAACATGGTGGTGGAGATAACAAACTTTTCGCCATAAAATAAGACTGGCATGCAAAATAGATATTTGTTATGCAAGGCTGCACTGTTTGACGCGAGTGCTCGTATTAAAACTTGAGCAAGCGAATGTGGCTAAGATTGAACCACAAGCGAGTGGTTTAAAAATAGATTACAGAGCGTAGCGACGGTTGCAAGGTACGAAACGCAAAACAACTTTGCTGCCGAGCGAAACACACAAGATTTCACCTCACTATAGCGAGGAAAATGGTAGATGAAAGAAAAACAGTTAGAATACAAAACGTCAGTTTTTTTTAAATTAATAGAAAAAGTTTGTCTTCGGATGCGTTCTGAATTTGCACCTCATCAGTTTTTATTCTCGCTTGTACTTATAATTTTGTGTGATTAAGTGATTATTGAAATCATTTTAGTTCTTCGACGAATCGATATAATTTAATAAACACAATTAGTTATCATTGTCAATTTAAAGTCAATAATAATAAGATACCAAGGCATTTATATTACATAAATAAGTAATTCAAATCGCGTTAGTTGAACGTGTCATTATCTTTTTTTCTTTGAAAGAAAAACTTAGGTACACCACAGTCCATCGTCAAGTTCGAATTTCGAAAACTTTTTTCACGCTAGCATGCAAAAAACGCTTTTGCGCGCAGATTTCTTATGAGAAAGAAAACGTTTGCGAGCTAGTGTGGTGAAAAAAATATTTTTAATACAGTTGCTCAAAACGTGGTATTTTTCGAACTACAAATCGTGCGGAAAGTTGGATTTCTCGCACTAGTGCTTTTTATTTTTCCAGTTTTTTTTAAATTTACTGTTGTTTTAAGTCTTAAACATAGAACTAAAGAAGTTGTATATTTATTTAATATTTATGTGCTTTGTGACGTACATAAGTCATTCGTCATTAAAACTTATATTTATTTACAAATACTATATAATGAACGTATCTCTCTAATAGTAATAGTCTCTGCCTACCCCTGAATGGGTGACAGGCGAGATTTTTATGTATATATTTATTTGTTCTATGTATTTATTACAGATAAATTGTATCTCACTACCGTGCACGGGTTCCTAAAGAAGTTTAAACAAAAGTACCAGGACTTCATAATAAGAAAAGTGGTTACAGACCGATATTACAGAAAATAAACAAAAACAGCACGTTAGAACTAGATTTCCATAGACTTTTAACTAATGGTTGCAGTGGGTGTATTTCATTATTTTAATTTACTAGCAGAAAATGAGTTTTGTTTAAATACTGTTTTATTTTACTTTCAATATAGTTTTTTCGCAAATGTATTAAAAAACGTCGTTTGATACACGTGCGGATTTGTCATTTTCACTTGTCTCGCGTCTTGACCCTCTCGCCTCTGGCTCGGACCAAGAAGCCTCGAGACTCGTGAATAATGACTAACTCTCCGCACTTATATCAAAAATAACTATTATCTACTACTTAATTTTAATCTGTCAACTATAATTTCATAAACCATATTATCACAAAGGCGCTCTTTTTAGTTCTGAATCAAAATTGTATTGTCTATAGTACTCGCTACTGAACTGAAGAATTTCATTATTACACACAGTTCTAACCACAGAGCTATAATAAGTTTCAAAAAAGTACGCTGTATTTTTGCTAACTATAATATCAAATTACAGCTAACACTACTCAAACGTTCTACTGCCTCCTCATTGGTTAAATAAGCATAAAGGTTTGACAAGCCGACTAGCTGGCTATAGGCCTTTATAAAAAAAAAGATTGGTTAAAATTTGAGCGGTACTTGGCCACTTCTATTCTATCTCTTTGGTTTTTGTTTTGTAGCGTTTGAGTTTGTTAGGTTGTTAACAAATATATTTTCTTAAATATTGGTTGTGTTTTATCATTGACTTACAATAATATGGATGTCGGGTCCGCGCTAAAAAGTGTCCGCACTTGTAAGGCGCTAAAATCGTATACAGAGTGCCACACTCCGCTTTAGTCTTCATTTGTTCTACTGACAGCGCGATACTGCGATGACATTACAATTTAAATTTCGAATAGGTTGACTTGGGACATTTTTTTCGTGGTTTTTGTATTAGACCCGTCGTCCATTTATTTGTAAGTCAATGTGTTTTATTATTTTATTTACTCGTAGAAAAAACTTATAAAACCTCTTATAAAACCTCTCTGAACGGTTTACAGGAGTGTGCTTATCTTTCCTGAAAAAATACATTCAAAAATTTTCCTGAAAACATACGAGTTATTCACATAAGGCGAGAATATTGACTATCAAATTCCATTACATTCACTACAAAGAAAGATTAATAATAAATACCATTCAATCGATCAACACAAATCTTTATGACGATAATAATTCAGTTCTATTATAATAATTGGATCGAAAATTGCCTAGGGATGAGTGACCCATTGTGTCCCATTTGAACTACAGCCAAGTTCAAGATTCACTGTAATATTTATCGTTCACAGACGGGATAAGAAAGAAAGGCCTAAATAAAGCTAGCAATAAATGCGGGAGGCGATAATATCTTCCTTTGTAGTGGATTGATGAGAATAGATAGATATAACCTAGTAGCCTAGAGCTCCTTGTAAAAGTGTTATATATAGACAGAGAGTACTGCCACCTTATCTATTTTAGCCGCCAAGGAATACTGAGTCCCAGTTTTGAAAGGTAAGGGTGCTGGTGAAATTACAGGCACATGGGACTTGTCAACTTATGCCTCAGTGGCAGTGCCCCTCAGTTCTTTGCGATTTAAAGCACTGAATGGTACTGCCACTGCTTTGGACAGTCCCATATCTTTCTACATAAGTTTTGTTTATGGTGCCCCTCCCTATCAACCTCTTGGTTATGCGGGAAGGGCACTATGACCAGTGCTAGCGAACACGCACAAGAAACATCTAAGTCAGGCCCTAACCCCGGATCAGCCCGTTTGCGCGGACTTCATCAGGTTCTCTGTAAGGCTAGAGCCTTTGGTGAGAGGCCCTGGATGCACGTACAGCACCCTCCCTGTTTTCCAGATAGGTATCGGAGCTATAGGCACGCTCAC